CGAGCAAAATTACATACTAAAGTGTAGGAGAATTACAGTACCTCAACCAAATTGAAACCCTAAAGAGGAAGAGACTTTACATTACCTCAATCAAATTAAAACCCTAAAAAGGAGAAGAGTTTACAGTAGCTCTTTCAAACGATTTCTCCTTCGTCTGTGAAAAAGAGTTTACAATAACTCTTCTCCTCTGTGAAAATCCTTTTAGATTTTAGAGAGACGGTAGTGACGAAAAAAATGGGTCAGAATTACTATTACTATTACTTTACCAATGGGTTAGAATGTGAAAATTCTTTTAGAGTATTTTTCTCTTTTTTAATTAATGGGTTAGAATTTATTAACTAAAAAAAATATTTACAAAATAAAATGTTGATGCCTAGGATCGAATTGGGGACCTTCACTATTACTTTACCATAATCGAAAATTAAATTAATTTTTAATTAAAAAATATTGTAAAATGGGTAGTCGCCAATTAAAAATATTTTTTAATTATTTTAACAAGTTACCGACTACTGTAATCGAAACACTAGTCAATTATTTTGTTGATTTTATTTCATAAAATTTACGACTTCAGTAGTCGAAATAATTATCGGTAAAATTTAAAAATAATTAAAAATAACATAAATTTTAATGTACCGATTATAGTAATCGGAAAATTACCCAAATTTCTGATATAATCGACAAATAACTTATTTCTAGTAGTGTTCTCCCTTAACCCCAAGACAATAACTTTGTGTTGTAATTCAAGTGAATGATCTGCTTGATAGTGTTTTGTGGACCACTCATACTAAGTGAGATAAGAATGAGCTTTATAATCATATGTGGGCTGCTCATATTATGCGAGGTAAGAATGAACTTTTCAATTCCTTGGTAAACCATTGGAAACTTATTTGTCATTTCAAGCAGATGATAGTTCTAGATGTAAGTAAATGGACTTGCACTAGCATTAAAAAAGTATTTGTGTTTCTTTTCCTCATGTTTGTGTAATTGTAAATATAAAGTGAGAATATGAATAATTTTTTAATTTTTGTTGTACATATTGTCGTTCACACCCCTTAATAGAAGACTCTTTTTTAAAATGTAAAACCTTGCCTGTATATCTATTAAATTGCTTAACGTCACTTTTTAACTCTTTTAATTTTCAGATATATGCTACTATCACTAATAAATTTTAATTATGAAGAAGATATGTAGGTGAATATACAATCATAAACTTAGGTCCTTTTGCCTTCTTGCAAGTCTTTTTATTTTTTTGGTTTTAAACGATCTCATTTGTGTGCTACGCTTAAAAAAACACAAAAGATTTTCTCTTTCTTTTTTTTCTATGTAATTGCACGTCAAGATTTCAATTTCCCCACTATGTTAATGCTATTAAAATACTCTCTATGTCCCTAATTATTTGTCCACTTTTAAATTGACACACATATTAAGAAAACAATTATTGATATAGTGAGTTTTTATGAAGTGGATGAATTAAAAATTTAAGATTTTTAAAAAGTTACCTTTTTCAAAGTAATTAATTGAGGGTATAATAGGTAAAAAAAATTGTTCTTTCTTGATTTGTCAAAATGGATAAATAATTAGGGACAACTATAAAAGGAAAAATAGACAAGTAATTAGGGACAGAAGGAGTATATTTTTTAATAGCTAAAATGAGTTTTCATAAGTTGCTAAAATAATGACAAGCTAATAAATCTCTAAAAAAATGGGTGCTTGTAATTACTATCGTGTATTCATTGGTAGAATTTAAGGCATTATATTGTAACATTTGTCAACATCTTTATTGGTGGAATTTAAGTCATAATATTGTAACATTTTCAAATAATGAATAGATCGAGGGAAGTTAAAAAGATACATCCAAGAAAAAATCGGTATAAAGAAAAGAAATGATTCATTTTCCCCTTTTCCTGATATCACAAAATTGTTATGCCCATCTCATGATTTCTTCAAACTTTTCTCAAAGTCCTTAAATGATTGTCTTCTAAATTTCGTCTCTAGGCGCTTCAAATCAATTTGTAGCTATTAATTTATGCTTAGTTAATCATACATCAACCGTTTTTAGCAATAAAAAATCATCCAACTCACAAGAAATTTTTATATATGAAGCTCAAAAATGGAGTTCAAGTTTCTTCTTGAACCCCTCACAATATCAGCCAAAAAAAATCAAATTACCACAATGAACCAACAATGGTGAATTTGAAATTTCACCTTTCAATTTCACTTAGACCAAATTTGTTTTTCACTCTCGCATTTGTGAATATTTATTTGTGAGTTCTTGTTTCTGGGTTTGATACAAATTGAAATTTTATGTCATATGCATAGCTATGGAGTTCTTCTTTCTTCTTCTTCTTTATTAGGATTTTGGGAAAACAAACATATTTCTCTATTTGAAAGCAATTTTGTAAATTTTATTTAGGTTTGATAAATATAGAAGTTTACATAATTTTATGGTGGAATATTTAATTATTATTTTACGTTAGGTTTAAAATTTACAAGAAAAAAAGGAAAGGAATAAAAAAAATGAATGTATAACTATCTATCGCGTGTGTTGTACCACTTTGACATAGAACATATTATGACTTTTTTTTAATGGTTATGACTTTTTAGGGAGGTGATTATTTAAAGGAAATAAAATTACCCAAAATATGCGAAATTTAATATATGCACAAGTCAAAAATCCAACGATGGTTATATAGAAGAAACTTATTAATCTACAAATAGGAGGTAGGAGACTTTATTAAATAACTCAACAACTTTTGTAATCTTGTACATTGAGTCTATCTTTCTACATTCAATGCATATCTCTACACTACTTGAATGTATCTCTCACTACATTTAATGTATCTCTCTCTACCTTCAATGTATGCAATAAGGCATCCCTATTTATAATACTAACAACCATAAACTAGGACTAGGAACCTATAAAACTAACAAATTCTAATTAAATATAAATAAGTAAATACCACAAATAACAAATCATATACTACTAAGGAATCCTAAACTACTTAGGAATCCTACTCTTTGGTTTATTTCCTACATAGCCTCTCTTAAATCAAGATCTTCAAATCTGATCATGCCTAGCATCTTCTTCAACTTTCTGAAATATGTAGCATCAACAAAATTGTGCGTGCAATCCTTGGTCAACTTCAATCTCTCTTTAGCAGAATTCAAAGTCAATTTGACTTTCTTCATATTTAATATTTTAAAAATATTGTCATTTTTTTTTCTTTTATTCTTGAATAACTATTCTTGCCTTAAAATCGTCAGCTTCTCCAATTGATTTGTAGTTGGTCTTGCATGTCCATTCGACTTCAGTTGATTATGTATGTGGTAAAGTAGGATCATCAATAAATAATTTCTCATGCTCTTCAAAATCTATAATTTTAAATAATGTTTCAGAGTTGATTGTATCATTACTATTCATAGTCATGCACTTCAATTGCGGATCTAGAACTTCAATTGTTTTTGTTTCAATTTTTGGTAGATCATCAAAAACTTGCTCTTGGTGAACATTTTTGTTTCTTTTATTACCAAGTTCATCTTCAAAAGTTTCAACTAATTTTTCTTGTGAGACAATAGTGAATATTTCTATTTCTTTTCCAATAGCTTCACTTTGTATAGGTCAATCATGTCTATTACATGTGTCTCATGATTTGAATTACTAGCCTCTATCGAAGAAACATCAGCTTCAACCAAATTATCCTTTTCAGTCATCCCAATAATCATTGACTTATTAGATTGACCATTATTGAAGTTCACTTTTCAATCAAAAACATCTATACCATAATGAAAATTACTTCTACCTAGGGGTGGCAGGGGGACCGGGTCGGCCCGCCCCAGCCCGCGACCGGTTCGAGAACCGGCTCACCGAACTCGATCCCGTTTGAATCTCGCGGGATGAGCCCTTCGGGATTAGGGGACCGATACCGGTCCGGTTCACCCGTTGGTCCATGTCGACCCGGCCCGGTCCCGGCCCGGATGAACCGGCCGGTTCGCGGGATCCCCTAACAATTTTTTTTTTTTTTTAATTCTATCTGTTGGGCAACAGCTAGTGGGCCCCCCCAACGGATATTTTGACAGTGTTTTCCCCCAACCAACACCCCCTACCACCCCTACTTTTAATAATTTACTTTAAACCCTCAAGTTATTATAAATACACTTTAACCCACTTTTAATATTATAAATACCCCTCTATCCCTTATTATTTCTTACAAAATCATATATTCTCTCATCTATTTTTTATATTCTTTCAAGTCTCAACTCTCAATCTTAAGTCTCAAATCTCAATATTTTATTTCATTTAAGTCTCATATTATATCATAATACATATACTTCAATTCTAAGTTTTCATATTATATATCATAATATATATAATTCTCATATTTGCTATCAAATATTGGAGTTCCAAATTACAAGTTACAAGTTACAACAAACTACAAGCTTCAAGAATCGGTTATAACGTCTGCTATTAACACAGACGTTTGGTACATTCGTTTCATAATATTTATATTTTATTTTTCGTCATTAATTTTTGTGTTATTATTATTTTTATATTATACTTTACATATAATTAAATATGAGTTCTAACAAAAAAGATACCGGTAAAGGAAAAGAGAAGGAACCAAGTGACATTAGTAGATTATTTAATTTTACTAAAAAAAGTAGTAAGGAAAAAAATAAAGTAAATGTGGTGGTACTTCTAGAGTTAGATTTAATACAAATGATTCTACTTATGTTGATGATACTTCTTATGATATTGATTCAAATGCTCAACTCGATCATGAACTTTTACAACAAATTTATGGTGATATTAATCCTTATCTTGATGAAAATTCAGGTGAAGAAGTAGAAGTTGGTTCGGGAGAAGATGAATTAGAAGATACACCTACTAGTCTGGTGACAAATGTTCCAAATGAAACTACAAATTCAACGGAGCAAAATTCTGGACGCCCACCCCTTATACCTCCTACAAGGGAGAAGGTGAAGTATCAACGCCCTAAAACTTTTGTTGTGTGGCAATTTATGACTTTAGATAAGGAAAAATCTATTGCTATTTGTAATAAATGTAAGCAACCTTTTAAACATAAACAAGGTGGAGGTCAAGGTGGGACAGGGGGCTTAAATAGACATTTGTTATCTTGTGTGTCGATTCAATATAAAGAAGCTAAATCATTAGCCAATAGAAAAAAAGGAATTCCAGTTAATGATTTTGATAATAATGTTAATGAATCGGTAGAGGCTTCTAACATGGTTCAAGGAACATTAGATCCTTCTAACCCCGGTGGTCCACTAACACAACGTAAATATAATAAGGAAAGAGATCGTGAAAATTTAGCTAAAATGGTTTCTGTTTGTGGTTTACCTTATAGTTTTCCTTCACATCCCGGTTTTAGAGAATATATTCAACAAACTTATAATCCTAATTATAGAGGTTTTTCAAGAAATACTGTTAAATCTGATGTTTTTGTATATCAAGGTAAACATTGTCAATATCTTCGTTGTGTGTTTAGCATATTAGATTGTAGAGTGTCTATAACTTCGGACATGGGTCGTAGTGTTAATGGACGTGATTATTTAACTGTTACAGCACATTGGATTGATCATAACTGGAATTTGCAAAAAAGAATCTTAAGTTATAAAGAATGTGTAGAGAAAAAAACTGGTGCATATTTAGCTTCAAATATTTTGAGTGTTATAGATTATTACATGCTTATAGATAAAGTAATGTATGTCGCATTAGAGAATGCATCTAATAATGTAAACGCTGCTAGTATGTTAAAAACTAGATTATGTCCAATTGATGATAATTCTTTTCATGTTAGATGTGTTGCACATGTATTAAATTTAGTTGTACAAGATGGTATTTCATTATTTGAATGTGGTTGTATGAAAATTGAATATGCTGTTGCCTGGATTTTTTATGCTAATAGAGCTGCTAGAATTAGGGAATTTAATGAGCGTTGTATACTATGTGATTTGCCACCAAGAAAAATTCCAAGACATTAAAACAAGGTGGAATTCTTTTTACGAAATGCTTTCAGTTGCTTACGAATATAGAGGACCCATACAAATGGTGTTTAATGCTCATAATGCTGACCCATTAGACAGAATTTGTGAAGAAGATTGGGAAGAAAGTAATGAACTATTAGAATTTTTAAGACTTTGTTATGATGCAACAACCATGTTTTCTGGAATTTATTATCCTACTATTTCATCAGTATTAATAAATATTTGTGCTATTTCAATTCAATTTTCTAAATACAAAAAAATTGAAAAATTTAGAGTTGCAATTGAAGGTATGATTGAAAAATTTTAAAAATATTTTTTTCCTATTCCTCAAAATTTTTTAACTGCTACTTTACTTCATCCCGACTATAAATTACAAGGTGTGCAGGGACTTGTTGACACTTTTTATGATACCTTAACAATTTCACCAGAAATAAATTCAACTAGTCAACTGTGTAAGTGTAGCATAAAAGTAGAAGCAAAAATTTTGTATGAAAAATATAGAACTACAGGAAATACTCAAGAAGTTGGTCAAACTTCTAATCCTCAGAGTAAAGCTCGAATTTAAAGTTATATGCGAGATTTTCTTGGTCTTAATTCTACTAACCGTGATGATTTTGAAGAATATCTTTGTAAGCGTCTAAAGTTTCAATCCTGAAATACAGTAAATAGGAAAAGAAAAATAGCAAGCAAACAATAATATTTGTATTTGAATAAATGCGAAGGTTACAATCTTTATAAAATCTCTTAAAAGAAGATATGTAATCCCCTGATTCTTCTCTTCCACAGATGTTCTTGATTTGGCGGAATACTTGCGGCTCAATACTTGGAGCGAAGACTTCTTTGTATGCGGAAGACTTGCAGATCACCAATGAAGAGCAACTATGTATTTCTGTGTGTATGTATGTGTGTATCTCCCCCTTTTGGTCTTATGAAGACCTCTTTATATAGGCTTGAGCTAGGGCTTTAGGGGTATTTTGGTCCAAGCAATTTTGACCCCTAGGCCTGAAGAATATGAGTTGGGCTCATCTTGTCAAATTAATGGACTGGCCCAAATGTTATTTGAACTTGATTTAAGTCATATAATTCTGACATAAATATTGATTCGACTTTATTAACCAATAATTTGACTTGGTCAATGTATCATGAATTTAAGATTTAATCCAAATTTAGTATGGATTTATCAATAAAACTTCACTGTCTACAAATGCCCCCTGCTTCGAGGCTTGTTGGGGTGCTCGATTTATCGAACTTGTAAAGACAAGCCTTGAAGTATTTGTGAAGCAAAAAATTTTATTTTATTTTTCCTTCTTCGTAGTTGATCTTTCAAGAAACATTTGAAGCTTCATGAGAAATGATTATGCCGATATGTTGATGTCAACATTTACCGGAGTCTTCATGATAACATTCTCTAATTTGGAAGAGGTCATTTGACTTTCGGTTGTTTATCAACTCATTTTCGACTTGAAGTGTTTCGAGCTCATGAAGACTTATCGCATGACATTTCTTCATAGTTTGGTAATTTTATTTGGGTCATCAACTATAAAACGACCGCCAATTTGATGAGCAAGGATTGCGTCTACAAGCTTGACTTGGTGATACAGAGCTTGTGATTTCGACAAAAATTTTAGGCGCTGCTTTCTTTGGGGTTGAATGCCCTGCCAGTTTTTTTTACTGCCCATGTAGTTTCTGAGAAAACCTTACCATAATTTGGTTTCTATGAGATTTACATAACTCGACTTCTTTGGAAAATTTTCATAATTTGATTCTTATGAAAACTTGCCATAATTTGGTTTCTATGGAATTTCCATAATTTGATTCCCATGGAAAATTTCCATAATTTAATTCCTATGAAAACTTACCATAATTTCCATAATTTGTAGGAACTAAACTTTCCATCATTATAATTTTCCATAATTTGTAGGAATCAAATTGATGTCTCCATATTTTGAAATCTATATATACCCACATTCACCCGGTGTTTGTATATCGCATTGCCGCATCGTCAAGTTCAATTGAGACCTTCTCTCTCAACTTTGATTTTCGTCACCCTTTTTCAGCTCAGCGCGACTTTGGTAGGAAATTCATATCTCATTGTAGGGATATTGAAATCGTGATCCGTTTGATTTTCCAGAAATTAGACTCATAGAGCTACAATATATCCGAAAATCACGATCAGACAACTCTCGGATTTACTCAGGTGATTTTTTGAACTCAGACTAAAATTCTGATAAACTGAACGCATCAGCTTTTTGCGACTTCGCGGAAAAATTCATATCTGGACGTAGGAATAACGAAATCACAAGCGGTTTGCAGTGTTGGAAAGTAAATTCATAGGGCTACATCGTATACGAAAACCACTATTAGATTGCATCTGTGTTGATTCAGTTTTCTTTTTGAAATCAGCCTTTCATCAACCACAAAAATTTGAGGCTACCACCTTTATTTTGGATATGTTCATACGAAACTGAACTTTTTCTTTTGTTTAATTATTATTTTTTTGCAGATATTTGATAGAGAAATACGACTCCGATCCCGCAACATGATGCACTTCCGCGACCGAGATTCGCCGCATCCTCTTCTTGAAATAGTGGGCGACGACCAACAAAATCCGAATGCCAAAGTTCTACTTTTGGAAGTTCAACCTCCTGCTATCGGCGTCTTCTCCCTTGTTAGTGGAGCATATGATGAATCTCTTCTCCTTAAAGAATGGTCAAAAATGGATACCAAAGATGTTATGAGAAACTTCTCGAGCAAGGCTACTAGCATGAAAGTTCCTTCACTGAAATCCGCGATTCATGATGACGCAGCATCTTCTAAATCTTCTCATTCTGATGGAAGTTTCAGCAATTGGCGTGTTCCTTCTTCTAACTTTGGCAATGTTTGCTACACACCTGGCTACTGGGAATGGGTAGAGGACGTGCTGCCCCGCCACAAGGAGATTTTGGAGCTCATCAAGGTCTATGACGCTGTATATACTTCTTTGTTCACGTATGACTATGACGACAATGTACTCCATGCTTTTTGTGAACTTTGGCGCCAATCTACCAATACGCTTTCTACTTTCATTGGAGAGATGTCCATATCACTTTGGGACTTACAATCCATTGGAGGTCTCCCCGTACAAGGGCACTTTTATGACGAAGTCGTTCCCTCGGCGAAAGAATTGACACAGACGGATACTCAAAAAGAATTGTTTCTTCCCCAAAGTTGTCGATATTTGTTTTCAGCCTTCTACAGATTAGCGAAAGATGATCTCCAGGAGGTGTCCGTCCATGATTGGGTGAAGTTTTGGTTTAGAGGACCTAATAGATATGCCGAGCCTCCGCAAAAGGTGTCAAAGGTACGAGCCACAAAGCCAAGATTAAATCACAATCCTTCTGGACATATTGATTCGAACTTCCTACCGCGGACTGACGAGGAGAATGCCCCCTTTGTCGAGTTAGATGTGGAAGAATCACTTAGAGATGAGATTAACTTGGCAGCCTTTTTTGCTTGTTGGCTTTGCAAATTTGTTCTTCCGAATAAGAAAGTCAACCATGTGCGAGCTAGTGTTTTTAAAGTTGCAAGCTTGATGGCTCATGGAAAGAAATTCTCCTTAGCGGTCCCAGTTCTTGCAAGCATATATCGCGGCCTGAAAGAAATCTCTACTTCTTCAAACTTGAGTGTGGCAAATATAATTTTCCCCATACACTATGTATATGGTTGGCTTGGGGAATACTTTGGGACTCATCATCGTGCCAATCGTTCACATCGATCGATACCTCTTTGCAAAATTTCTGGCGAGAAGATGGCCAAGTGTTTTAATTTTACTGACGCCCAAAAGTTATTTCAACAGGATGATGCCCGTCGCCTCCATCATTTAGCAATGCTGCAAGGGAGGGATTTGCACCTTACTGATAATGGCAAGCTTTCAAATTCGTGGAACGAATATATCATAAGCCTTCGTTCAGGCTTTGTAACCCTTAGGCATGATTCAAATTTCATCGTGGAGTCCTACAGCCCTATCAGATTTAGTCGACAATTCGGTTTTTGTCAAGATGTTCCCGGAGATCTTGTGGAGCGTCCTTACGATGGTACACTATTAACATTGGTGCAACTTTGGAATTCTTCTTTTCGACTTAATACTTTTTCTAAAGTCATGATTCCAACGTGCCCATTAGAGGGTGCTCCTTTAATGACCCGCGAGTATGTAGACTGGTGGCCATCCCAAAGGATGAATACTTCCCAAGGAAACCTCCGCATCATTTTAAAGAAGACGAAGCAAGACTCTACATCCACTTCATCTAAAGGGGCTTCTGATCAATCAAAGGAAAAGTCACATCCTTCTTCCAAATCTCAAGTGAAGTCAAATGATACTCTGCAAGTCACTAAGACCTCATCCAAGTCTAAAACCTCGAAAGATGGGGATGTGCCTGCGAAATCAAAATTGAGGCGTCTCACATTAGCCTCAAAGGCGACTTCACCTTCTCCCGAAGTTGGCCATAATTCTTTTAGAACAAATGAACTTCATGTATCATCAGACAATGGTGATGACCAAACGTCAAACCTTGAGACGCCTTGTGATGAAATTTCTCATATGTACGTTTCACCGGATGGTGTTAGACGACCCAATGCATCTCCTAGTCCAACGGATCGTCACTGGAATCGTCCAAAAAGAAAGGCACAAGAACTAGATGATATTTGTTGTGGTGTTGATATTTTAGATACAATTGTCATTGATGATAACGACTTTGTTGATGAGGATTCGAATTCGGCATCATTGTTTGAATTGGCAAAACAAGTAAGCCCCCCCCCCCCCTCATTTTTTTTATTTTTATTTTTCAAAGTTTTGAATTTGATCATCTTTTTGTTCTTACTTTTTTTTTTTTTTTTTTTTTTTTTTTTAGTTGGACCTTCAAGAACTAAATGGTGGCGACCTTAACAATGGCGCGGTTGCAGATTTCATAGATCTTAATGGTCTTGATGCGGCTGCAAAAGATTTTCATTCTTCCATTAATGACATGATGCCTTCATTGGAAGTAGTTCCACCAAGAAAGTCACCTTCTAATGACGCGATTCCTTCATTGGAAGTAGCTCCGCCAAGAAAGTCACCAAGTAATGACGTGATGCCTTCATTGGAAGTAGTTCCACCAAGAAAGTCACCAAGTAGGCCGTTGCGACCTGGTGCTCCTACTTTTGAGCCACAAGAAACCATTTACCGCGCCAAATCAACCTTTGTTTCTGAGATGTGGGGCGCATTGTGTGGATGGATTACACAATTTTCCTTAGGTTCTTCAGATGGCTTTACAGAATTGGAGTCAAGTATCGCATCAACTCTTGAGGAGATTAGAAAGGTAAACATTATTGATGTTTCTTCTTTGGAGGATCATGTCGAGAATTTCTTCAAGTCGTACGCGGAGTATGATACTTTAAAATCATCAAAGATGACTAAAGAATCACATGAAAAGGCTCTCGCTGATGCACAACACCGTCTCGATGATGCAAAGATGGCACATGAAAAGTTGGATGGATCCATGGAGAAACTTCAAGCAACTCTAGCAGATGTGGAGAAAGACTTAAAAGCCTTGACTTACAAGAAAAAGAAAGTGACCGCGCTCATTAACAAATATCAAGAGAAGCTGTCCAAAAGTCAAGAGAATGTCACCATTACGGAGGGCGAGATTTATACCATTGAGGCAAATAATGTGATGTCTAACGATGAAGTTGAGAGACTAGCCAAGCTAAAAGGGGCGGTTGAGAAAAGTCGCCAAGAAATCATAAGCTTCAAACTTTTTCCGTAGTTAAATTTTTTATTTATTTGCTTAGGATTTTCTAATTCGCTCATTGTGGTGTAGTGGTTTTTTTTTTTTTTTTTTTTGAAGCAATAAAATAGTGACTTATATTTCAATAAGAATTTTCTCCTCTTGAATTTTGGTTGTTCTTTCCACGAGCCCCTTTTCCTTATTAAAAAAAAAAACTCCATAAGCTAGAGTTTATACGAGGATAGCAACAAAACGTTAACTTTTCAGCTTTGCGCACATGAGGTAGAAAATTCATAACGTGGAGTAGGAGCACCGGAATAATAAGCTTCTTTTTTTTTGTTGGAAAGACGACTTCGAGATATTCAATCCATATAAAAATCACGTCTATAGGATTTACGGATTAATACAGATTTATCTTCAAAGTCAGCTCAAAATCTGGGTGCTTGAATTTTCAGCTTTCTTCAGCTTTGCGCACATGTGGAAGAAAATTCATAATGTGGAGTAGGAGAGCCGGAATACTGAGCTTCTTTTTTTGTTGGAAAGATGACTTCGAGATCTTCAATCCATATAAAAATCACGTCCATAGGATTTACGGATTAATACAGATTTGTCTCCAAAGTCAGCTCGAAATCCGCGTGCTTGAATTTTCAGCTTTGCGTACATGTGGAAGAAAATTCATAACGTGGAGTAGGAGAGCCGGAATACTGAGCTTCTTTTTTTGTTGGAAAGGTGACTTCGAGGTCTTCAATCCATATAAAAATCACATCCATAGGATTTACGGATTAATACAGATTTGTCTCTAAAGCCTGCTCAAAATCCGCGTGCTTGAATTTTCATTTGAAAGAATTAGCATGATATTCACATGACTTTTTTTTTTTTTTTTTTTTTTTAATTCTTATGACTGAACCTAGAGTAATAATACTCTAAGCTGCCTACGTACCTCAGTGAAGAGGATCAAGTCATTACGTAGTTCAGAGAGTGAATTTTTTATTTTTTTTATTTTTTTTGTGGAGCCGTACACAGTTTATACTCTTGCGGGCCAAGAGTATGACGCCGCTTCAAGGATAGTACTTCTTCAAGAATTTTCCATTGATGGGACCAATCCGCAAGCCGTCTACATCCACAATTTTGTAAGCTCCGCTTGAATAGACTTCTTGAATGACATATGGTCCGTCCCATTTTGATGTGAACTTGCTTTTCGATTTATGAGATATGATAATTGGTCTTCTTACCGCAAGGACTTGATCACCGACTTGGAAAGACCTTAGGCGAACCTTTTTATTGAAAGCACGGGAAAGACGAGCTTGATAGCACTCAAGACTTTGTTGAGCTTCCAACCTTTTCTCATCGAGAGATTCTAACTCTTCAAGGCGCAGACAAGCATTTTCTTCTTCAGTAAGTCCCTCTTGGATGGCAAGCCTTAATAACGGTATTTGTCGTTCAAGTGGAAGGACTGCTTCAGTTCCAAAAACAAGAGAATAAGGAGTTGCTTGAGTCGGCGTGCGATGAGTCGTCCGGTATGCCCAAAGAGCTTCTTCCATTCTATCATGCCAATCCCTTTTAGATTTGGAGACGACCTTCTTTAACAAGTTGCACAAGGTCTTGTTAAATGCTTCAGCTAGTCCATTTGCAGCAGCATAATACATTGATGAATTACGTTGCTTGAAGCCAAAAAGGTCGCAGATCTTATCCATCAATTTATTGGTGAATGGCTTTCCATTATCTGTTAGTATATAACTAGGAATGCCAAAACGATAGATAATGTTCACCCTGATGAAGTTTGCAACATTTTCCTTCTTTACTTCTTTGAGGGCTACGGCCTCAGCCCATTTTGAGAAGTAATCTGTCGCAGCCAAGATGTACAAGTGACCACCAGAAGATTTAGGAAGTGGTCCAACCACGTCTAGCCCCCAAGCATCAAATGGCCAAGATGCAACAGTCGGATGTAATACATCAGGAGGTTGGTGCATAAAGTTTGCATGAAATTGGCATGCTTGACATCTTCGAGCATAGTCCAAGCAATCTTTTACCATTGTTGGCCAATAATACCCCATTCTTTTTATATGAAAGTGTAATCTGGGCCCAGATTGATGTGATCCACAAACTCCAGAATGTGCTTCTTGCATAGCTTGAATCGCTTCTTCTTCCCCCAAACAACGCAAGAGGACTCCCTCGAATGATCTTCGATATAGAGTATCTTTGTAGTAAAGAAACCTAGGAGCACGACGACGAATTTCGGTCTTTCTCTTTGGATCTTCTGGAAGTATATTATAACACAAGTAATCAATCAGAACATGTCTCCAATCAACTATCTTAGCTTGTGAGACAGCTACAAGATGTTCAAATTTGCTTTCTTCATCCACATCCGGTGGCACTATCCATTTTTGGCAGATAGTGATTTGCGCTTGATCAGGCAGAGTTAAAGTTGAAGCCAAAGCGGCTAAAGCATCAGCTTTTTTATTCTCCTTTCTTGGAACATGTTGAAGAGTTACATCTCCGAGCCATCTAATCAATTGTTGTGCATAGTCATGATAGAGACGCAATTCTGGCTTTTTGACTTCATAGCTACCCAACAATTGATTGATCACTAATTCAGAGTCTCCAAAAACTTGTAATTGCAATTGCTTCATATCAACCGCCATTTCAAGCCCAAGTATTAAGGCTTGATATTCTGCAATATTATTGGAGCAACATTGCGTTAAGGTGAAGGAATACGGCAAGATCTCCTCTCGAGAAGTGACAAATATCACCCCAGCGCCAGCCCCTTCGCGATGTGAGGCCCCATCAAAATACATCTTCCAAGGCGGTTGAACTTCAACAACCATTGCATCTTCATCAGGTAATTCATCATTGAGTTCCCAATCATCAGGTATCGGGTGGTCTGCTAAGAAGTCTGCCAATGCTTGCCCTTTCACAGCCTTTTGAGGAACATACACAATTTCAAATTGTTGAAACTGGAGATACCATCTTGCTAGTCGATCATTGAGGACAGGTTTCGACATCACAAATTTGATGGGGTTGGCTTTAGAAATAAGACGGACGACGTGAGCTTGAAAGTAGTGTTTCATCTTCTGAATTGAGAAGACTAAGGCCAAACATAGCTTTTCGATTGGCGAGTACTTCAACTCATTTGGTGTCATCATCCTACTCAAGTAGTAAAGGGAATTTTCTTTCCCTTTGCCATTCTCTTGGGCTAAGAGTGCTCCCACTGATCTTTCTTGAGCTGATATGTAAAGTATCAATGGCTTTCCAGGAACAGGAGCTGCTAAAACTGGTGGTTTTGTCAAGTAAGACTTGATGCTTTCAAAGGCATTACTACAAGCTTGGTCCCATTCAAAAAGAGTGCCCTTTTTCATAAGGCGGCTGAATGGTTGGCACTTTCCTGCTAGATTCGAGATGAATCTCCTAAGATATGCTAGCTTCCCTTGTAGACTCTTCAATTCATGAATGTTTCTTGGCTCTACCATCTTCAGAATTGCATCTACTTTTACTTGATCAATTTTTATTCCTCGATGTCGTACAATGAAGCCAAGGAATTTTCCAGAGGTAACTCCAAACGCATATTTCAAAGGATTCATTCTAAGTTGATACCTTCGTAGTAGATCAAACACCATCCTCAAGTCTTGCAAGTGATCACACTTTTTTCTTGATTTCACTACTAAATCATCAACATAACATTCAACATTTTTGTGAAGAATGTTATCAAAAATGTTTTGCATAGCTCTTTGGTATGTTGCTCCTGTGTTCTTCAAACCGAAAGGCATTACTTTGTAGCAATAAATGCCCTTAGGAGTGCGAAATGCGGTCAACTCTTCATCCTTTGGAGACATGCGGATCTGATTATAGCCGGATGAACCATCCATAAAAGACATCGCCTCATACCCAGTAGTGGCATCAATCATAAGCTCAGGGATAGGAAGTGGAAACTCATCTTTGGGGCATGCATTATTGAGATCCCTAAAGTCAACGCAAACTCGAATTTGCCCATTCTTCTTCCTCACGGGGACAATACTTGAAACCCATGTGGGTACTTAACTTCACGGATAAAGCCAGCCTCAATAAGCTTGTTAACTTCAGTTTCGATCACGGGAACCAATTCAGGCCTAAAACGCCGTTGAGCTTGCTTGATGGGACATGCACCGCTTTTCACAGCAAGATGATGGATTGCTACCTTCAGGTCTAATCCAGGCATTTCTTTGTAACTCCAGGCAAATACATCTTTATACTCTTTGAGTAAGTCAACGTAGGCCTTTTCCTCATCACTCGCCAGTGAAGCATTCACATAAGTGGGTTTTGGATCTTCATCAGTTCCAAGGTTGATTTCTTTCAATGCATTAACTGTCACCTTTACTCCATCTTCAAGTTCGGGTGGCGCATCTTTAGCATCTTCATCTTCTTGAGGTTCTCCATCATTGAAAGATATATGGTAACACCATGAAACATTCTCCAACTCTCCATCAATTTTAATTGGAGAAAAAATATGTCTTTCATCTTGTATAGTGACATGATATGAAGAGCCAACACTTTCTTCATCTTCATCACGTTGCTTGGTGTAGACCACAACATGCGACTTTGCCTTTAGTACTTCTCCACACGAGACCACAATGTTCGTATGCCGCCTCATTCTAGAAGGGATTAGACTTTGAAAGTCTTTAGGAGCATTTTGAGATTTTGGTAAAGCAGATGCTTGAATACTCTTGCTATTTCCCCAAATCTTGTTTTTCTTCCTCAATGGCCCTAACCTTTCAAATACAGAAATCCTCTTCGTTGAGCTTCCAAGTCGGTCAAAGACAGAAGGCTTTTTGTTAGAATTAGTAGACTCATCTTCCACAGTTATGTAGTTGTTGCTTACCCTTTTTATGGAGATGCGAATAGGTGGAGGTTGTTTGTAGCCCAACCCTTCACGTTGTTGCCTCATAGCAGGTTCAGATGGAAGCTTCCCCAATTTTGACGGTTCGTTTGGATTGAATCCAGCTTTTGCTAGTAGCCTGTAAGCATTAGGATCAAAACCTTCTTCTGTACGCTTCATTGGGAGTGCTTCATATAGGGGTGACTTAGGGGCCACAAATTTTCCGTGAAGTAATGACTTAGGAGCCACAGACTTCCCAAGTAATTTTGTGGATGACTTCACCATATCAATTCGCCTTACAGGAAGGGTCAACCCTTCCAGCGCATTTTCTCGTAATTCGAGAGAGTGTCCTTTGTCCTCCTTTGCCTTTGGGACATAACGAAAAATGGGTGTGACCTTTTTACTTGAAAAGGCACCAATCACGTTAGGCATCTTGTTTGGATTGCCAAGCTTTGAATCTTCCTTGTTTGCGACTTTTGCCTTATCGACCGCTACCTTAGCCATATTGTTAGGGAATCCGACATCTCTGGATGCAATGGCATCGACTTTTATGGAATATTTCTTCAAGTAAAACTTTGCGTCAGCAAAGTGAGCTTCAGCTTCAGTGAATGGATTATCATCCGCAATAACCCTTTTTGCAACTCCATCCTCATAATACTTCAAACATTGGTGGTAGGTAGATGGGATTACTTTGTTCTCATGTACCCACGGCCTACCAAGCAAGATGTTATATGAAGTCTTTGCATCAATTACATGTAACCACACACTTGATTGCAACTCTCCGATGGTAAGGTCTATTTTGACGGTCCCTATAGACCTTTGTCCTCCTTGATTGAATCCTTGGATCATCAAACGACTATCAGTAAGATCTGTTGTTGATATTCCAAGTTCTTTCATTGTGCGAATTGGAAGGATGTTGATTCCAGATCCTCCATCGACAAGGATTCTATTCACCCTTTTCTCACGTGCAAAACCAACCATGAATAAAGGGCGATTATGAAATGTGTCACCAAGCAGAAGATCATCGTCAGAGAATGTGATTTTGGCCATACATGCATTTTCGACTCCAGGAGATGACTGTGGATCATCTTTTGGTGATGGACATGATGGATTTTCAACTTCAGGAGACAGCTTTGGAGCATCTTTTGGTGATGGACATGATGGAGTTTCATCTTTCGCTTCTTTTTCATCGACATTACAACATAGAGCTTTTGTGCCATCACATGTGAACTTGGTGTAACACCAATTTGGCAAATATTCTCCTAATGTAACGGGTCTCCGCAACTCTTGGTAGTGGTGCACCTTTATTTCCTTCTTCTTTGAATACACGATCAAAGTTTTGGTTTTGGGTCTCCTTACCATCTTTTCCCTGACGTGTTGCTTTGTTGACTCCTTATACGAACTCACTTTTCTGCGTCTACGGCGAGTCACAAGAGTCCAACCCCAATCATCAAAATCATCTACTAGGTCTTCATCTTGTCTTGTTGATCCCTCTCCTACAAAGGCCATATCACTTAGTATAGGAAGAGATAACAAATTATTTACTTCAATGGGCTCGAAGTCTCCAAACTTAATCATTCTTGTCTGATTGGTGTTTGGAATGTCTTGCTCCATATTTCCTTCAACAAAATTGCAGGTAATGACCGAATTGGGTAAGTCAGAAGTGACACTGACTTGGTTTGAACTCAATTTCTCATCTTCAAGTTCAATCTTCCCTTCGCGAGCTAAGTCCATGATTTTATCCTTGAAGACGAAGCATTTCTCAATAGGGTGTCCAACCAGCCGGTGATATTTGCAATATTTTGGATCATCACTCCTCCCTGCTTCATCTGGTCGTTTCATCTCTGGTAACTCAAAAAGTTTCATCTCAACGAGTTCATCAAAGATTGCGGAAACATCTGAGTCAAGAAATGGGTAGTCCTTCCGCTGCATTTCCTTCAAGGTGAGCTTTTGATTTGTCCTTCCTTCAAAAGAATTCGCTTTTGCGCTCTGCGTATTGCCCACCCTTGTGGTGAATTTCACATGAGAGGCATTGACGTTCATGGATTCTTTGTTTTCAGTCTTTGGCAAATATTTTCCCACTTTCTTGAATTCTTGCCTTTCTTTGACTTTGCGGAGTTCGTGGACAGGTGGTGCTTCAGTTCCGACCGATGACATGCTCAACTCCATATCATGAGCGCGAGTGGCCAACTCTTCAAAAGTTTTAGGCTTTATACCTTGCAAAATATAACGGAGACCCCAATGCATACCTTGAATGCACATCTCTATGCCCGAAGCTTCACTAAGTCTATCTTTACAGTTTAGACTTGCATGCCTCCATCGGTTGATGAAGTCAAAGACTGGTTCTTCATTTCGCTAGCGTGTGTTTGTAAGTTCCACCATGCTTACAGTACGTCTTGTGCTATAGAAGCGGTTGAGAAATTCTTGCTCCATTTGTTCCCAATTATCAATGGAACCCGACTCAAGGTCCGTGTACCAATCAAAAGCATTGCCCTTAAGGGAGCGGACAAATTGTTTGACGAGGTAATCGCCGTATGTTCCAGCATTGTTGCAGGTTTCAATGAAGTGCGCCACATGTTGCTTTGGGCTTCCCTTACCATCGAACTGTTGAAACTTTGGAGGTTGATAACCGACAGGCATTTTCAAACTATCAATCCTTGCAGTGTATGGCCTTGCATATGTCAAGGAGAATTTTGTAGCAACCTCGTACTTGTCTTTAATGGTACCCATGATGAACTCCCTGATTTGGTTGATCGGGATCGTTCCTTCCGAAGAAACTTGGATCTCTTTAGCATATTCAACATGCTTTGTGGGGCGATCGACTGTCTCTTGGACTTGCGGACGTTTTCCAGGTGCGTGGCTTGATTCTTCATCCATCATGCCCTCCACCCTATCAGTTAGCTTAACAATTCGAGCATCTTGATCTTGAATATACTTGGTCAAGCCTTCAATAGTTTTTGTCAAGCTCACAAGTTGTTCTTCTACGGATGAAGCGTTAGTCACCATTGCGTGCATTACCATAGTAGGTGGCGGAGAGTAGCGTTGATTTTCCTTAACATGAGATGCAAACATGTTATATGGGGTAGATCCCGTGCTTAAGACATCATTGTCAGCCGAAGCGATGCACTTCTCGTATGTAGATGGGCTCAATGGGGCAAGAGCCCTTTCGACCATTTCGGCGATGTTTTCCTTTGCAGCTTTTGCAGGAGACTTCACATGTTTTGGAGACAAACCAAAGACAGTAGCAGATTCGGACGGCACTCGTGAGGCTTGTTGTCCCAGCAATTTGGCTTGGTTCCTTGTGATAGGTCCCATGCTTCCCGCAGTAACATCGAGGATGTTTTCGACATCGACGCCGAACTTGGATCCATCAGTTTTTGCAGATACAGATGCGAATACAGATGCAGATGCGGATTTCGATGCCGATGCAGATTTCGATGCAGATGGAGATTTTGATCCAGATGCGAATACGGATGTAGATCTAGATTTGGATGCAAATACGGATTTCGAGTTGATCTTCTTGCAAGTCATCTCGGTGTTTTTGAACTTTGGTTGTCTTGAAGAGAAGAGATGAGAGGTAAAGATTGTCCCACTGGGCGTGCCAATTTGTAAGCGTCTAAAGTTTCAATCCTGAAATACAGTAAATAGGAAAAGAAAAATAGCAAGCAAACAATAATATTTGTATTTGAATAAATGCGAAGGTTACAATCTTTATAAAATCTCTTAAAAGAAGATATGTAATCCCCTGATTCTTCTCTTCCACAGATGTTCTTGATTTGGCGGAATACTTGCGGCTCAATACTTGGAGCGAAGACTTCTTTGTATGCGGAAGACTTGCAGATCACCAATGAAGAGCAACTATGTATTTCTGTGTGTATGTATGTGTGTATCTCCCCCTTTTGGTCTTATGAAGACCTCTTTATATAGGCTTGAGCTAGGGCTTTAGGGGTATTTTGGTCCAAGCAATTTTGACCCCTAGGCCTGAAGAATATGAGTTGGGCTCATCTTGTCAAATTAATGGACTGGCCCAAATGTTATTTGAACTTGATTTAA